AATATATGATACAACGTAGAACACATTGTGTGACAATGGACTGTCCAAATTTGTTTGTTGAAATCTCCACCTTGAGCCGTTTGCATAATCAGAAAGCACATGGTTTATGATATCCTCTAAGCTCACAACCTTTCAACACTTGCTCAAAGGCACCGGTTACTGTATCGTATAAGGAGATGTTCTTGACCAAACGCAGATCTGCCTCTGAATGTTGCATGCCGGCCTCCTGATTGATGATTGTCGTGCTTTGGCTCTCATAAGGAAAGCTCGTGGGTTGAAGTATGCGGTTTTGGCCCAACCAGTTTGTCCAACAAGGTCAACGTCACATTTTTCATCTCGATATGTACTGAGGTCACCCTGTCACTTTTGAGTGGAAGCCAACGCTATTGCTCACAGTTCAACCGCCATTCTTGCTCCTCCCTTAAAGGAACAAGGTACACCCCTATTTTGTGAAAACAGACCTCTTTCAGCCAAATATTGCACAAGAATGCAAAAGTCCTCGAGGCTATGACGTGCTCGTATTTAACTTTGGCTGGATGATGTTATCGTTGGAGATGATGAACTAAGATACTCCTGAACTGTTGTTTCGTCTCTCTGATAAACATGCAATTAGGTGTGCAGGATGAGTTCCATAAAACTCTTGACTGCTGGGTGTTACGGAAAAGATATGCCTTTTCAGCGTTATTCCATATCGAAGGCCAGATAATACAGCCTGCTGGCCGTACTATTCACCACAGTTACATCTGCTTCTCAAGATTGGCAAGATAACTAGCAGAATACCTTGAAACCTTCATCTTTGAAAGTCACCAATGTTTCAGAGAAAAAAGTCAAGAACAATGTTTAATAGAAAATGAGAAAGCACATCTCCATGGAGAAATCCATAGTTAATAGGTAACAACTAGACAGCAGAAATGGCTCCAACCTATATCTCTTTTAGAATGGAAACAATGCGCTCAGGTATCCCATAACGTTTCGAAATTATTCACATTGTTCAACGATGTGATGAATAAAGTGCTGCCTCGAAATCCATGAAACTGGCAAAAGAAGGTAACTAAATTGTCTGAGCTGCTCAGAGAATTCGATATTGCAATAATACTCCATTTACTCCACCAAGAAACCTGCTTAATGCAGCTTGACCGCTAGCTAGCTGCCCAACTTTTCACATCAATCGAGGAGAATGATTCCATAGGAGTTGACAGAGGTGTGATATCACAATAATTGGAACACTCTGTCGCGGGTATCCATTCCTCTGATTGAGTTGATGACTGTCGAGTAGAGACCGCATATTTACCCCCAATTTCTCTTTTAAAACATCCATCTTTTGGTTGTCGATAATTGCTAAAACTGTCTTTGCTTAGAAAGGAATTATAACCTTCTTTAGCACTAGCACTGGTTTAACATCATCTACGTTTACTGTAGTTGCCTTGTCTACTGCTAAAACGTCGCTGCCCGTATTTATTTGGAATAAGCTTCTATTGCAAGAACAAGAGCACATAGAAAGCTGCTCTGATGTATCGACATCTGAAATACACGGTAGAAAAATTTACTGCTTTATCCCTGTTCACACTGTGGCCAGTCAATCCTACAAAACATAGTGATTAGTATCTTATACTCAAAG